AAAAAAAAAAAAAAAAAGGAAGCATTGCCACATATATGAAATGTCCAAGGGCTGGGGATGTAGCTCGGTGGCACCATGGCTGCCTCAAAAGCACAAGGTCCTGAGCCGCAGGTCAGGCATGGGACTCTTTCTGGGATTACAGAAATGCTCTGGAACTAGATGGAGGTGACAGGGCCTCTATCATAGTCGCACAGAGGGCCTCTGATTTGCGTATTTCAAAATGGCCAATCATGTTTGTTTTGCGGTACTGGGGATGGACCCAGGGACTTCTCACTGAGCTTTATCCCAGCCCTTTCCTTTAACATTAAAAAAAATTTTTTTTTTCTGTACTGGAGGTGGAACTCAGGACCTTGCCCTTGCAAGGCAGATTTGGTGCCACTGAGCCAAATCCCCAGCCCAGCATTTAAACAATATTCAGATGGGGTCTTGCTAAGTCACTGAGCTGTCCAGGCTCAAAATTGGGCTCCTCCTGCCTCAGCCTCCCAGGTGCTGGGCTTACAGGCCTTTAGCAATATGTTTGGCTTAAACGGCCAATTTTACCTCAGTGATTTTTTTTTTTTTAAATAGAAGATAGGAATAGAGACACATAAACAGAGAAACTGAGAGGGAGAGGTAAACAGAGAGATAGAGAGATGGAAAGACAGATAGCACAGGAGACGGAGGTAGGCAGCACAGCCCCCCGTGCTCGTGTCAGGAGTGGGTGCCGGGGGTTGGCAGAGATGAGGGGTCTTGGACCCCCTAGTGCACCAACCCGGGAGAGCGCATGCTCTCGGGAGGCCGGCAAAGGACTCCCCAGGCGCCTGCAGGCTGAGGTCCTGCCCTAGCCGGCCCTGTCTCTGCCTGTTTGCTCCTTCTGCGAGGTGGGTTTGCAAGGAGTATTCAGTGAGCTCAGCAGACGGGAGGGCCTGGCTGCAGAGCCCGGGGCCTGGTTAAGAGCGGGCTCCTGTTGTCGCCCCTGTACCCTCAAAACGCCAGGCGGCCCGCGCCCCCAGCACAAGCCGAGCGCCTCTCCCGAGCAGCCCCCCTTTCTGGCTGTCCCAGCTCCTCCTTGCCTGGAGCTGCGGGAACAGTGACTGAGGGGCTGAGGGGACCCCTCCCCCAAGATGCAGCTCTAGCCAGCCCGGTGACAGGCGGGAACAATGCTGCCTGCTAATTGTCGCAATTTTCCCCTGTCATTTTTGCTAATTCCTTCATTTTCCCTCTCCAGGATCAGCCCGGGTCAGACTGAGCTGCTGCAATTAACAGCGTTAATGGGCTCGGCGGGCTGGGGCGCCGGGCCTGCGGCTCCCCACTCACGGTCCTGTCCCCCGTGACTGGACCCGGCTGCCTCTGATCGTGGACTGCCGAGTTTCGTCAGCCCGGCTTTTGCCTCAGCTCCCAGCCCCTCTCCAGGAAACCCGCTTCTGTCCCCCGATTCACCCCACATAGCTACGCCCTCCACAGGTCCCAACCCAAGGCCACTCACTTCGCTGACACCAGCTTCTCCTCAGGACCTGTCCAGGTGACCCCTGCTGCCGCCTCCCTGTCCCCAGCCCCCTCTGTGATGCTGCGGGTGGGGGCAGGGAGGGTGGAAAGCACCTCCCCAGTGCACAGCAGATGCCTGGTCCCCAAGTCCCTGCGTCCCGTCTCAGCTTTGGGACACCACCGTGAACGACGCTGGCCCTGCGTTGGCCCCTTGACCCTGACAGCATATGAACATCATCTGCAAGGCCTGGGGGAGGATGTGTCCCCAATGCCACCTTTGCCAGCTCTTGCCAGGCCCCAGCCTGGTCTGGCTTTCTCTCCCTGGGCTCCCTGCATCGGCCTTCATGGGCATCACAGCCCCCACCCCATGGGGTGGTTACTGGGCCTTGCAATGGCTATGGGGCCCTGCATGTGGCCCTGCTGACCTCAGCACTCCCCCCCCCTACAGACTCCAGGTCTCCTGGCTTCAGCTGCACCCAGCAAGTGAGGCCCTGCTGGCCGCAGGGCCTTTGCATGGGCTGCCCCCTCTTGCTCACCCTGGAATCTCAGCTCACAGGTCACTTCTGACCTGGGTCCACAGTCACCTACCAGCTATGTACTGAGCCATTTGAGGCTCCATGAGCAAAGGATTGGGGGGGAGAGATGTGAGCCACAAGGTAAATGTCTGTCATGGCAGAAGACAGTGCATGCTTTGGAAAGCAAGTGGGAGAGGCATTGGGGTGGGGGGTGGGGCCAAGGGTCCCTGGTGCCACAAAGGGCAAGGGCAAAGGTCCTGTGGTGGGGATGCACTTGTCTGAAGAGGACTGAGGCTGGTGCTGGAGGAAGTGGAGGGATGGGGGAGGAGAGGGCCCGGATGTAGTGCTTGGTGGGGGGGTCCCATCCTGGGGTGCAGGTGTGGGGCTTGGAAGGACAGGGTGCTGGCCACGGGCTGGAGTCTAACTCTTCCCTGGCTTGGAGGCCCAGGGACAGGTTTTAACAGGTACTTACTTTCCTGTTTGGGGACGGCTGGGGTCTGAGGCCCAAAGGGACCAGAGATCTAGGTGTGGGGAGCGCTGGTGTGGTGTTAGGACAAAGCTTCCTGTCCCTGGGCCTCAGCTTTCGGTCCGTGAGGGGAACCACAACAGCGCTTCCCTCCTGGGATTTCTGCAAAGCACCTGCACAGGGCTTTGTAAAAAGCAACAGGCATAGGGTCTGGGTGTCTGGAACGAGCACTGTAACTGTTTGGTTTAGTTTCCTTTTATTTTTCAGTACCCGGGATTGAACCCAGGGCCTTCACACTGAGCCATATCCCCATTTCCTCTCCATTA